ATATACATAATAAAATATTATTAAACTGGAAAATAATTTATGAAATCAATCTCTAAATAAAATGGAAGTCCAGGAAGAAAATTGAAAGAAAAACGCGAAGATAAAATAAATGATTCCACAAAAAAAGTAAATAAAATTTTAAAAAATTTATATTATTTTTAAAATTTTTTATGACATCTAGAACCCTTGGACCCTCCACTTTTAAAAAGGGTCCGGGTTCGGATTCAGCTAAAATAGAAGGGTTCAGGGTCCGGGTTCACATCTTTGATAAAATTAGAAAGGAACACCCAAAGTTTTATTTATTTTAAATATTTTTAAATAAAAACACCAATTTTATTATTTAAATAAAAAATTTTTTTAAATATGGTATCTGAATTATGGAAATATTTTATTTAAAAAAATCTAACATAATACAATTTTATATATTAAATATTACAATTTATAATTCATACCAACTGGATATATTTTTAAAAATATTTATTTTGTCTATTATAAAATTTTTAAATTATTGTAGAAATAAAAAAATAAAATTAAATGCATAATTCGATTTTTTATAAAAAATATTGATTTATTAATTACATTTGGTTCAAAGTTAATATAAATATCGGATCGATACCGATATCGGATCGGTAAAAAAAATATGTGGATCGGCACAGTCCTAATAAATTGATGATTGTAAATGTTTATTTAAGGTTCAAATATTAATATAATTTTTAATTAATAATTATGTATAAAAAGTTTTTTTTTACTTATGTTAAAACAGTTGAAAATTAGACTAGATAGTTTATGCGGTGGCGTAGCTACGGGGGTGGTTTTCGGGTTTGGACCCCTCCCAGAGCAAATTTTTTTTTTAGATTATACATTCAAAGGACTTAAAAGTGACTTTGTATCAAATAAATACCATTAATATTTATATTTTTCTGGTTTTGATGTTTGAGAAAGGATATTATATTACTATTGAAATTATTCTGGGTAGTATTATTACAAAGTAATTGAGAATAAAAATTATAATAACATATTATTCATGCATTTAAAAAAATATTTATTATATATTGTCGAAGATGTGGTTATGATTTTTAAGATAAACCCGGCCGAATGCCGGTTAAAGGGGGCCTGGGGGCGAAGCCCCCAGGATTTTATATGTATGGACCCCCTCTAAGGAAAATTCCTAGCTACGCCATTGAGTTTATGTGACCTCAAGATCTAAAAAACTGTTACAACTAATGGACTACTGAACAATGCCAAAATTAATTTAACACATATTTATATATACTTTACCTAAAAATATTAAACTACTAAAGGATCCAGCCAAAGGGAATAAAATTTTAAAAAATGGTTCAAGTTGGGAGAAAATAACGAAACACTGACTTAAAATAACACGATTAACATCTTCTAAAATATCATCTTTAAGATTCCCACACAATTTCAGATAAAATGCACTTTCTATGCTTACCTAAAATAAATAGCTAATTTTATAATATATTATAATGATTGTACTTGTGTCGCTGGTACACTTAAGACAATTCTAGATAGGATATATAGTTCTAGATTTATTTTAAAAAATTAATATATTTGCATTCTTATTTATTCTCAACCAGTGAGAACTCTACGATTAAAGATTTAATAGTTTGTGGTTCCTCCTTTTTATCTGATATTTCTCTATCTAAAAGTACATTATCAAAAGTCATCAATTGTGTTATCATTATTATCAATACACTCAGTAGAATGGTAGTAGCTTCCAATATGTTGTAAAAAATGGAGTGTTGCTTATTATGCCATAACTCCATAAGATAATCTTTAGCCATCTATTTTTGTTCAATACTCAATAGAACTTGATAACAAGGATCTAAATTTTGCAATATTTCATATGAATTAGTTAACTGGCATGACTAAAATACATGCCCTCGAAAACTAAGCACCCTTATCAAAAAAACGCTTATCTAATTATATTAATATAGAATCGTGTTTAGTTTATCAAGATGGTTTATAGAAAATGTTTTTCTTTTTATTTAAAAAAAACTTGAAACATAATAAATTTTTTAATTAGAATAAGCGCTCTCAATTGCGCTATTTTTAAAAAATTAACGTAGAATATATTTAGCTCATTAAAAGAATTCAGAAAATATTAATATTACATTTTTTTTATAACTTAGTGGGCTATTAAAGGCTTCTTTTTTTTTTAGCAAACTACGCATCCCTACGCGACCCTATTAAAAAGGTTTTATTTTAAAAATATAAAATTCTGTTTAGCTCTTCGAGGAGAATCAGAGAATAATAGTATTATTATTTTTTTGACTAAACTACACGCTAATATGCGACCCCTATTAAAAAGACTTACATTTAAAAAAATAAATATATAATGGTGTTTAGCTTATTGAGATGATATAGAAAATGTTATTTCCAATTTTTAAAAAACTGGTAAATTTGTAATATATAAAAAAACATTTTAGATAACTAAAATACGATTCTCAGACAAATTCCTACATGCTCTCGATAAATTTAAGCTATTTTTATAAATTGAATGCATAATCTGTTTAGCTCTTCGAAGAGATTCAGAAAATGGTATTATATTAAAAAAATTTAAAATTTTAATTATCGGGAATTTTTTTTTCCCTAAACTAGGCGCTTCTATTAAAAAGACTTCAATTAAAAAAATATATATAGAATCGTGTTTAGCGTATTGAGATGACATAGAAAATATTATTTTCAAATTTAAAATAATATAGAAATTAGTAAAATATCAAAAAACACTTTTTGACAATAAATGTAGATATAGCAGAGATTCAGAAAATGGTAATAATAATTTTTCCTTAAAAAATTTTAATAGAAAATAATTTTTTTTGACAAAACTACACGCTCCGACGCGCGCTCTATTAAAAGGACTTAAATTTAAAAAAATAAATATAGAATCGTGTTTAGTTTATCGAGATGATATAGAAAATATTATTTTCAATTTAAAAAACTGTAAAAAAAACAATTTTTGGATGACTACATTTAAAATTTGCAGGAGCTAATAATTTCTGATATTTTACACATACTCATAAAAAAATTATAATTTATTTATATATTAGGATGTTTAAAATAAAAGTAGTGTTTTACAATCTTTATAAAAGAATGTTTTTTTAAAAGGTTAATAATACTCATAGACCTGCAGGCCTGACCCGTGAAATATACCCGGGCCAAAACCCAAATATTTGAAATAGCCATTATTAGCTATAAAAATCAAAAATAAATATAATATATTTTAAAAAATCTGGGCCGGACCAGATATTTGAAATCTCCATTATTAGCTATAAAAATCAAAAATAAATATAATGTATTTTAAAAAAATGTCGGGCCAAGCGGTTTTTGAAAGCCGACCAGGGCCTGGCCATGCAAATGGTACCTATGCAGGTCTCTGATAATATTACCAAGCATATTGCAATTTTCTTCCAATTTGCTAAGCATAGACCTATTTTTTAAAAATAAATTCAATTTTTTAAATATATTTAATTACTGGAATCATGCGGTCACCCCACCCCCAAGACAGAACCACAAAGTTGGCCTAAGAAAAAAATTAGTTACTGGATTCGAACTCAGAACTATGGGATTGGCAAGTCACGTTTATATAGACTAGCCCACAGACGCTTTACAAAAACTGAACTTTTAAATTAAAAATATAAACAAATGAGGCAGTTTCGATTCAAATAAATAAAATACTCGTTTTTAACACTGTATCTGGTAGTAACAAATCTAGGTTATTAATTTAAACTGAAAATTTAATTTTGAGTTTTCTTTGAGAAAATTATGCTAAAAAATATTAAAATTTAACAAAAAATATTACAAACTCCTGAAAATTTTCTATATATGTGGTTCAATTAAGTTGAGGATTCGCTTTTTTAAAAACTTGGTACATATATAAGGCTTTGATAGATTTATAGCATGATTTGAAAAAATTATTAACAATAAATCCTAAGATGAGCTAAACATGATTCTGCATTCTTTCTTTAAAAATAGTGCATAATTATCAAGGTTGCCTTGTACCTTGTCGGGGATACACATTTTAGTCATCCAAAAAGTGTTTTTTGATAATTTTTACTAATTTATCAATTTTTTTGAAAATTAAAAAAACATTTTCTAAATCATCTTGATAAGCTAAACACAATTCTATACCAGTATTAATAAATTAACTCTTTCTTGATAGATGGTTTGTAGGAGCATAGATTCTGAAGGCATGGATTTTGCTCATGTGATTCAGCAAAAATATGACGATTCAGGGTCCCAGTTCACATGCCTGGTATAATCTAGGTCTATTCAAGAATTGAATATTATTCATTTCAAATCATTTGATTTGAATAATTTTAATGAATATTCTATTTGATCAAATATTTGAATTATTCAGAATAATAAATGTTTTCTTCTAAAATTTAATCATTTGCCATTCATTTCCTGAAAACCTATCAATCTAATGGGTAATATGATTAACAAATTAAACATAGTTGAAACTAATTTGTTGTCATAAATCTCATGTCTTATAAAGAAGAAACAATTAGAAGAACTTTTTGCCTTGAAAATTGGCTTGGAATTATAAACAAAGTAGCATACATTTTAATTTCACTAATAACTGATCACATGTTCTTTATAATTATGTTATTATAATAATTTTTCTTGTTTAAAATTAGATATACAATAAAAAATATTAAAAATTTTGCCGATAATTTTATATTTAAAAAAAAAATAAAGTATAGTTTCATTTTACATAAAATTTAATATATACAAATTGCCAATTGAAAATATTTTACAGTTTTGGACCAAACCAAATCCTGGGTTATGGACTCTTCATTTTCCAATCCATACCAAACTTGAACTTAAAATGGCCATGTGTTTCATTATGGTATTGTATAGATTAATGAATACTCTTTGTATATTTGTAGACATTATGAATCAATGTGTAATGATTAGACTTAGAATTAATTTACTAATCGTCTTTATTGAATCATATAACTTACAATATCTAATCAAATTTTTATAATTAATGTATGAAGTCACATATTAAATGCACATATGAATAGTTATAAAATAGCATCATTTAAAACTTATATCATGTTGTTAATAGGGAGAAAGCAACAAATTATTAAAATGCAAATAATATGAGAAAAGCCATCATAAGGCAAAAAAGGCCCATAGCTTCTGAAAGAGCAAATCCTAAAATAGCATATGAAAAAAGTTGTTGTTTAAGGGAAGGATTCCTTGCATAGCCTATGATTAGGCTGCCAAATACACTCCCAATACCAGCACCTTAATATGAATTAAGTTATGTTATTATTATAAGTAAGATAATACCAGAGCCTGCAACTCCAACTGTTGCAGCACCTGCACCAATAAATTTTGCTGCCGAATCAATATCATTTGTGGTAGGACTGCTATGAAATTGGTGTGATATCTCCTATTAGATGGATATCAATATAGTTTATTTAATTATGCAATACTTTATTCGTAGATATATTTAATATGCCATTATTTTTAAAGGTCAGAGTTGATAAAAGCTGTAAAGCATAAGGGCTTGCGAAACTATGAGAATATTTTATATTCTTCGAGCATATATTTATTAAGCTAATCATAGGCTATTAAAAAAGATATTAAAATTTAAAAAGTGATTATACTTTCTTGGGGATTAGATATAATGAGGCCATGTTATACATTACTAAATCAGATGTAGAAAAATGTGGATATGACACCAAATTAAACGTATTTTATTTTAAATCTAAAATAAATATTTTGAAATATTCCTATATATAAATCAGCAAATGTATAAATGAAAGATGATATATCATGTTAAAACAGACATATAACAATTATAATATAAAGTATTAGGAAATCATAATATTAGGTTTAGGTGGCAGACTTATAGCTTCTGGTAAAAAATCTATAATATTTTGAACTCTTTCTCTATAATATTATACAATTTATTATATAATAACATAACAATTTACAGCACATTTATAATTTATAAAAATAATAATTACTAATAAATAATAAATTACATTTCAAGTCTTTAAAGAAATCGTTGGTTTATTCAATGACATATGAGTTAATTACAGTTACTAACAATTCATATATTTACGGAATAATAAATTGTTATCATAATAATTATAATAATTTACATTGTACTTATAACGCAGGTGTCGACTACATTGCGGTTGTGGACTCTCACCCCCAATTGAAAATTTATGTTGTTAAATTATAGGATCAGCTCAACTTAGTCAAGTACAATCTCAAACCAGGGACATCACTAGCCTTTAAAATCTCAGGAGGCCCATATAGAAAACTTTCACGGAGAGCTAAGCCCTTCTTACTCTCTATTTTGCGGGCCTTCACACGGGTTTTATATTTATATATTTTACTTTATATTGAAATTTGCAAACTCTAAACAATTATTCTGAATTTCATATTTTGTCATTATTATGAATATAAATAGTGGAAGTAAAACAATAAGACATTTCTAAGGATAATATTTTTTAATACAAAATATTTATCCATTTATTTCAATATTAAATATTTTCGATCGCGGATATAAAAAAGAAATTTTATCTAAAGAATTACAAATGAGGTTAACTACAATTGATGGTTTTTAAAAATCACACAAGGCAATCTTAGCAACCTACATTGACAAAAGTCATTAAAATAATATAACGTTGTTTTACCATTTTAGGCAATGTTTTATAGTTAACTAATAAGGAAAAATTTGTAGGCCTAACCAAATCAATAATTCTTGAAGAAGAGAATATAAACGACTAATCCAAAACATAAAACTATATGGTGATTAGAGCTTTCTTTTAGATGCCAATAATGGAAGCTAGATAATTAATCGAGAAAAATATTGTGAGAAATAAATTTCTAAAAGATTAATGCTAAATTTTAAGATATTTAGGTATTATGATTGAAATTCTAACTTTAAGACAGAATTTGATTGTGCAAGCATTTAAATAATAAAATAAATATATATATAATATTTGATAGAATTAAATCATGCAGGAGGCTATTATTAATATTTATTTTTAGTTTAGGGGGATATTAACTAGCCGGAAAATTTTTTTTGCTTCAGAGGGCTCGTTCCCCTGTGCCCCCCCCCACACTAACGACGCTTCAAGTCCGATGAAATATTTCTAGATTACTTTTATCTCTTTATTTAAATAGCACTGTTATTGAGAATGTATTTCCATTATTTGATTAATAAAGAAAGCCAATAAATTTTCTTCAAATCCTCTATCTTTATGATATTTAAATCTATTTTTAAGGATTTTGATAGTCTTTTATCTTTTATGTCTATTTTGAATCAGAAAATTTAAAAAAATTTTGAAATGCAAAAATATTTAGCGTGTGATCGATAAAATCGCTTCTATATTTAGGATATTTACAGAATTAGTAATCATAATAATGATGATAATTTATTGAATAATTGTTTTGCCTCGTTGAATATTTTTCATGTAATCATGACTCCTCCATGGTTTTTAAGATATGAATTTATGATATCTCAAAAAGATTTCTTTATATACTCGATAAAAAAATCTTTTCACCTATAATATTAATATTACTAATTTATTATCTAAAATATTGTGTGAACAGCAATACTGACTAACGAGAGTTCTGGTGTTCAGACAATGTGTGTGTATATTTTTTGAATACAAGGCCTAAACCAAAATATATTTTGTTGAGTAACAACAACTATTTATATCCTTGAGAGTGGTTCAAATTTAAAACACTATATTTTATTGATTATAGCTTCCATGAATTTTCAAATTTTATCCAATATTAATATATATAAAATTTGGCAAAGTTTTTTGCCAAGGAAGGCCCAAAAAATTATTTGACAAATGGGCCTGGTCGGGTATTGCACAGCCCACCACTGACATGAATATACATTTTTTATATCGATTACATTAAATCTGAAAATGGCTTTATATGCGCAAATATAAAAATATTTTTAAATGCATTTTATACATTAGTATCTGCAATATGATTTAATAATTTAATCTTGCTAGATAAGGGTTTTGTAGGACAACAAACTTGTTTAATATATTTAATCATTTTTGAAATATATTATATATTTTAGCCTTGTAATTATTCTTTATTTCAATTGGTTTTCATCTTTCTTGGTGTGTTATATTCAATAAATGTTTTTTTGTAAATTAACATAATTATTAAAAATATTCGCTGAATCATCAATAGAATAAAAAATATTAATAATGGAAAGAGCATATTATGGCGAGTTTTTCCCAAAAAAGGTATCGATCCATGCATTCATTTGAAGGATCTGCATAGTATATTTTCTAAATGGGCAATTAACCTTTCTTTTAGCAACAAATTTTGTGGCAGATGAAAAAAGGCCAATTGAGCTAAAATTTTGGGTGAATTATTGATGCCAATATATTATTGTCATCATATAGTAAAGGAAATCTATAATTTTTATTATATGCATATGTTATGATCTTCACAAATAATAAAAATTGTATTTATAAAAGAATTAATTACTTCTAAATACCTCTTTAGGTTTAAACTGCTAATCTTTGAAGAAGATATTTTGTTTTTGCATAAAGAGCATTTTGCATAGATCATTGTATGGTTACTTCCATCCGTTTCACATAAAGTAAAATATTTACGTAAATTATGAAATGGTCATTTTCATCTGCTGTCACATCAATAGAAGTAGATGTATCATCTTCTAAATCTATAATGGAGTTATTAAAACCTAGAATTTATATCAGAGACCTACAGGCGTGGCCCTAAACCCGGCCCGGGAACCAGGGCCGGGCCGTATTTTAAATTTTTAAAATATTCCCTGGCCGGGCCCTGAAAATTTTTTTTTCAAAAACCTGGGCCGGGCCAATTTTTTTTTTAAAATACCCGGGCCGGGCCGTGTTTTTTTTTAAAATTTATACAACATGAATTATTATATTCGTCAATTAGATATGGTTATAATGATTATATATAGTAATGATTAATATAATGTTTGGTGAAAGTTAACACTAGCTAACACTCATAGTATCTATTATATAATAAAATTATAGTTTTCCTGCCATGGAATAAATACGCAAAGGATTAAATACATTATTATATAATATATAATATATATTATATTTTTTATTAATTAAAATATCATTTTTATTTTTTTTATAAATACATAGTATATTCTCAAAATATTATTTACACAAATTTTATATAGTATCAATTTGTAATATAATAAATATCTGTTTAGATTAAAAAAAATTAAAATAATATACTTGCTTATTAAATTGATAATACTCGCCGAAAAATATGATAAAATACGAAATAATCAATTTTTTGTATATACCAGGTCGAATATAATTTAAAAAATTCCTAGCCGGGCCTAAAAAAATTTTTTTTAAATATCCGGGCCGGGTAGGGCCTAAAATTTTTAAACCAGGACCGGGCTGGACCGTAAAAAATTTTTAAAAAAAAAATCCGGGCCGGGACGAAAATTTTTGTTACCTCTGCAGGTCTCTGATTTATATTATAATATAATTAATAAATAAATATAACTTGTTCTTACAAAAAATTTGGGAAATTGTTGAAATATAAAATCTGGGGGGTTGATAAAATATCATATAGATATATTTTTAAAATAATATTTAAATTTAATTTTTAAAATTTTATTTTATTTATTGCTTTTTAAGTAAAAAAATAATTTTTAAAAGGATCAGGATCGAATATTTAAAAAAAATGATCTCGATCACGATCCACAATTTAAGGTCAGGATCATAAATCCGAGAAGATTGACAAATTTAGGATCGAATCCAGGATCGGTGATCTTTTGATTCGATCCTTTAACAACTCTGTGTATTAATATATATATATATATATTGTATTTTGTTAATTTGTTTTTAAGCCACAATTTATTGTAATAGATTAAATAAACGATTTTGTAAAAGTATATATGGATATATTTTCTTATTTTATACATAACATAAATATATAGAATTTGATAAACACCACATTTAGCGACGATTATTTTTTAAAAACAGAGAAACGTATTAAATAAAAAGGTTAAAATTATACTTACCAAACGAAGACTTGAAGAAGATATTTATGAAGAAAAACTAAGAAACATTAACTTCTACCTCAATTCCATATTCCAGAATTCGTCAAAATAAAAGTGAATATTCAAGACTTTATATGTATATAATATAGACTCATCTTCAAAGTAAAAAAAAATATAGTTGATCAAAATAAAAAAAAGATTTGTTATTAACATACATATATACTGAGAATTTAATTAAAATATAATTTAAACTACTCAGATGATTGAGCATAAATTATTTAACCTTACTTGATAGTTTAGAGAAAATATTTAAGAATATTTCTAGTATTTTCCTACATCGCAATAAATTTTAAACTTTAGAGGCGGTTATTATCGATTTTTCGATCAAACTGCAAAGTATATGCTCTTTATGTAATTTTAAATCGCCGGTTGATGAACTTTAAGAGATATTATCTTAGGAGTAAGTATGCCTGAGTTGGAGAGAGAAATTCAGTCAAAATATATCAAAGGAAATATCACTTTTGAAGATACCGTGCATTTAACGATCGCGCTGTCTTCTTGGAGATGGATAACCCAGGCAGAAGTTAACAAAATAATTAAACATAAACATACGCAAGGTTTTAAAAATATTTATTTTAGGAATAATAATTATAATAACGT